CGTTGCGAGTGAACTGCCTGACCTCAGCCTGTTCATCGACGCAGATCATAATCTTATCACTCTTGCCTGACCAGTTCATGTCTCCATAACGAAGTCATGCCTACCGCAGTTCATGAGTGCGAGATACTTCGAATTCTCTACCTGCTCAAGATGCACTCCATTTACCTACAAAGCATGGTGAGGGGCCCTTCTCGCGGGTACGAAGGTCTCTCAACATTGGTCAGGTTGATATCCAAACAGTCTTCGTTGCATATAAAGTTGGAGGTCATCTTTCGACGAAGCGAGCAACATGGCAAGATCTTCCACAAACAACAGATGACATTATCAAACCTCTCCAAATGTGGCGTTTTCTGTGTCTAGGGTGGTTCTACTGATGAAGTTAAAGATATGCTTGAAGAGCATAATAGACAATACATGGTCAGTGTGACTGTGACTGAATTTATGGAAACCGCTGTGAAATGATACCGCTCATTCTTCAATGTTAACATAAACGTCTGTTCTATATGACCTAAGCCAAATTTAAAATCGAATAACTAGAGAACCTAATAGAAACTCTTGGCATAAACAGATTTAACTGTCAAGACAAAAACCATTCTTTCGTCCAAATAACTGACAATGAACAATGTAACAGATTGTTTAATAATTAAAATAAAGTAAAATTGGGTTTGTTTTATTTTCCTTTAACAGCTAAACATGTCCTGTATGAAGGTATGTTATGAACCCTGGAATGGTCATCTATGAGGTTATGGAAGAGTACACAGTAGCTGGGATTACCAACCAGAGGTAAGGATACTCCTGCAGCAGTCAATCGATCTGCCAGGTAAAAGACTATTGCCGCTACTGATTCAGAAGTCGGCACACTTTTACAGTTAGATGGCGCCCTTAATCGTACTATACTTCACCACTGTTGCAGGAAGACAAAATATACGGAACGGATATCGACAAGAATTTATCTGTCAAGTCATATTCGCAATTGATCTACCCCAGGATGTCATGATTCACGCCATCGCATAAGGATACACAGTGGTTTGCCAGAACCGCCATCTGAATACACACCATTTAAGGTCACTGTGTCAGCAGAAACCTCTTTTTCCAAAATCAATTTTCTAAGCAATCCCGTAATGTTAAGATTCATCAACGTCCCTTCCTTTCGTTTTCATGATTCTTCAACACCCAAAAACAAACTAT